GGGGTTACGTATTGGTAGGTTGTTGTTGTCAGTAGTGGTGGTAGTAGGTGGTTGTTGCAGACAGTGGTGTGGTAGGCGCAGGTTGTTGCGGTAGTCGCGGTAGTAGGTGTGGTTGCTACGGCAGTGGTGGTGGAGGTTGTTGTTGCAAGCAGTGGTGGTGGCAGGTGTGCTTGCTGTTGGTAGTGGTGGTAGGTGGTGGTTGTTGTTGGTAGTGGTGGTGGTAGGTAGGTTGTTGCTGATAGTGGTAGTGGTAGGTGGTGGTTGCTTGTTGGTAGTCGCGTGGTGGTGTGGTTGTTGCTGGTAGTGGTGGTGGTAGGTTGTTGTTGTTGGTAGTGGTGGTGGTAGGTGGTTGTTGTTGGTATTGGTGGTGGTAGGTTGTTGTTGTTGTTGGTAGTGGTGGTGGCAGTGGGTAGCTGTTGTTGTTGGTAGTGGTGGTGGTGCGGCTGTTGCTGGTGGTAGTGGGGTTGTTGCTGGCAGTGGTGGTGGTAGGTTGTTGTTGTTGCTGGTAGTGGTGGTGGCAGGTGGTCGTTGGTTGCAAGAAAAGTGCGGTAGGTGGTTGCTTGTTGCTGGTAGTGGTGGTGGCAGGTGGTTGGTTGTTGCTGGCATGGTGGTGGGTAGAGAAGTTGTCGTTGTTGCTGGCAGGTGGTGGCAGGTAGTCGTTGTTGCAGGCAGTGGTGGTAGGTGGGTCGTCATGGTGGTAGGTGGTGGTTGTTGTTGGTAGTGGTGGTGGTAGTGCGCTGTTGGTTTTGCAGGTGGTGCGGCTTGCTGTTGTTGGTAGTGGTGGTGGTCGGTATTGTTACAGGTGGGTGGTTGTTGTTGTCAGGTGGTGAGAGGTGGTGTTGTTGTTGTTAGTAGTGGTGCAGGGTACGCTGCTGGTAGTAGGTGGTTGTTGCTGGTAGTGGTGGGTAGGTGGGTCGTTGTTGTTGGTAGGTGGTGGTAGGAAGGTGTGGTTGTTGCTTGGTAGGTGGTGGCAGGTGGTTGTTGTTGTTGGTAGTGGTAGGTGGCAGGTGGTGGTTGTTGTTGTTAGTAGTGGTGGTGTAGGTGGTTGTTGTTGTTGGTGGCAGGTGGTGGTTGTTGCTGTTAGTAGTGGTGGTAGGTAGGTTGCTGTTGGTAGGTTGGTTGCTGGTAGTGGTGGTGGTAGGTGGTTGGTAGTGCAGGGTGGTAGGTGGCCGTTGTTGTTGGTAGTGGTGGTGGTAGGTGGTGGTTGTTGCTGGTAGTGGTGGTGATAGGTGGTTGTTGTTGGTAGTGGTGGTAGGTAGGTGGTTGCTGTTGTTAGTAGTGATGGTGTAGGTGGTGGTCGGTTGGTAGTGGTGGCGGTGGTGGTGGTGCTTGGTAGGGTGGTAGATGGTTGTTGTTGTTGTTATTGGTAGTGGTGGTGGTAGGTGGTTGTTGTTGTTGGTAGTGGTGGTTGGTAATTGTTGTTAGTAGTAGTGGTAGTTGGTTACTGTTGTTGGTAATGGTGGTAGCTGGTTGTTGTTGTTAGTAGTAGTGGTGGTGGTAGTGGTGGTGGTGGTGGCCAGGTGATACTGACAGTGGATAGTGAAGATGGTGGTAGAGTGGAACGGTTGCGAAGGAGACCAGAAGAGAGGGAGAGAGGGAGTGAGGGAGGGAGGGAGTGAGGGAGGAAAGGAAAGAAATCCATAAACATACGTCACTAGGAAAGCAAAAGTCTGAGGCAGTGACGTCATGGCTTATCCTACGTAACGTATTGGGGTCAAATGAGAGACTACACTAAAACACCGTTGGCAACTTGGCACCATAATGTATGATAATAAAAAACAATAATCTATGCTTTATGTATCTATGATTTATTCCATGTAGTAATATTCTTTTATTGTGGAGTTTTCTATCATTATTTCCCGATGATCCCGATGTTTTGTTTACACACAAGACGTCACATTGTGGAAGGCTCTTGATGCTATTGTCTCTCCTGTACTTTCATCTAAGATCAATAATAATTTCTGGCTACTACACCTCTCCGACTGGTGGGTGAATAATGAGATGCGACTTTGAATATTAACTAGGGTGTCTCTCTGGATAGTTTGTGAACTGACTGTGAACTGACTAATGCGAATTATTAATGCAGTTAAGCAGAGATGTATAAAGTTACTATAACCAGACACAACCATATTAATAACTTTACTAAGAAATGCCACATATACTTCTTGGACATTTACTGTTTATATTTTTAGTAGAAATAAGCATTAGAGCATATAGATGAGAGTTGATCATGACAGTGTTAGCATGTGTGGTGGTATGGCAGCATGACAGCATTAGCAAGCTGATGTGTACCACGTGTGATGGTAGTTACGCAATGATGTGTGTTTTGGTGTTAGTATAAAGACAACTGGCATGACAGTATCGATATATACAAAGCAATAACAGCCCATCATTACGTATTGGTGACCGTATGACTGTAATCACCAAGACAGCTCCTACCTGTGATCGTGTGACGGTAGACGCCAGGCTTCACGGTGCGGACCTCGACGTTGTTGACGCAGACTGTGTGCTGGAAGTTGGAGTTAGAGGGGAGCCAGGAGATGACGGCAGACGTAGAGGTGATGGAGGTGGCCTTGACGCTTGTAGGACCCAGGGGCGAGTCCTTCCCGATCACCATAGTACACGCCGCGTCCCGAGAGGTCCTGCGGTTTGGTGTGACCGACCGAACGCTGATGCGATGAAGCTGTGGGATGATAATTGGGTGAGGGAGAGGGTGGGACGTTAGAGAGGGTGAGAAGTGGGGAGGGTAGAGAAAGTGAGGGAGAAGTGGAGGTTAGAGAGGGAGAGGTGAGATAAAGAGAGGGAACGGAGGGATAAGGAGGGAATGGAGAGTTAGAGAGAGGGAGAGGTGGGTAGAGAGAGGGAGGGATGGAGAACAGGATTATTAAACTATGGTATGGTAAGTTAGTGTGTCATCACCTGTTAAGACTGACATGCAATATCCTAAATTCTATTGCAAAGTCTTAAGTTATGATGTTTACACCATGTAAGGTTCACACCGTGTTTCTTTATATCATTCGGTAATATAATACGTGGTAGTAACAGTATAATGATAATACCACCAGATGATAACACCACCACATAATAATACCATGTGTCTGCGAATCCTTTTGTGTGTGTTTGATTTACGTCCGTGTGTTGACCTTAAGGTGGTGTGCCCTTTGAGTTGAAGAAATTTATAAGAAAAAAAAAACAAGCATTTTCATTCCATTAGTATTACAGTCACAAATAGTTCTCACGAGAAAAAAAAAATTCCCGAGTAAAATTTCATGATAAATTCCTTGTGAGAAAATAAACAGCAAGACAATCTCCAACTTGGGTTAGGTGACGTCATGTCCACAATGGATGGTAATTAGGGTAAATCAGGTATTGTGCCTCGGATTATACCAGATGATTCCTTTAATATTTCAGGTAATATTGAGAATGTTACCGAAATCTTGGAAGAGGTTAAAGGAACACGTAACACTAAGAGAGAGAAACGTTGACGTGACACAAGAGGAACACGTAACGGAAAAAAATACGTCACACTGAAAGAGAAACGTTGATGTGACACTGAAGGAACACGTAACAGAGAGAGAAACTTAAGCGTGACACTGGATCAATATGAATCGTAGTGTAACAGGGACGCACGTCAAGAGGTGGTGGTCACACGCTAACTTCCAGATATAAATAGTAATGAAGATCTCGGTCAAAATAACTCTCCTTTATAGTAAGACTCGCTCTAAAATGATTTAGTATGAAACAATGCGACACAACGGACGAATGATTTTGACAACCTTACCTTACAGGAGTCGCAGTGTTCATTATGAAATTTATCGGACCCCGCAGTGAAGATAATTATACTGTACATGTTTAACACTCTTATTAGAACTCGTATAGGAAACCTACTACATTAGTTTACTATGACTCAACAGTTTGTCACAGTAAAAAAAAAATGACAAATTGAAAAAAAAAAAAAAATTGAACTTTCTTATCATTTGTTTAACTGCCACACTAAGAGCAGCGTCGATGTGTTACCTTGAGCCTCACAACGCTTGTTTTCACGCTTAACCCGCTATATTGAGCCGCCTGTTTCCTTCCTCGTGTCACAAAGAGCAACACCCACAACACAGAATGATAGTCTGTTGTGTTGTAACTTCCTTAAATGTGTTATTATAGAATGAACGTCAGGCGCCATCGATTGGTAAAGTTGGCTTTCTTTTTATGGTGTGTTTTTGAGAGGTACAGCACGCACCTAGGGTCTGGTGGTGCGGGCTGCTCCACCACACACAACACACCCACACACACCACCCACCGTGATGATTCTGATGAGCTGAACTGGAAGATTCCGTAAGACGTATATGGTTGATAAATTACTACGAACAGACTGCTTGACCATTTATTTATTAGACGACACGAATCGACCAAACCCAACTTAGCTAATCAATCCTAAGTCAACTTTGATAAATTTAGTTTAGGCTTGACTACTTGCTGTCATCTACTTTCAAAATAAACCAAATTATCTATATCTCCTCTGTTCGTGGTATTTTTCCAAAACTGTTCACCGATCGATGTGGTGTTTCCCTCAACAAACAGACTCGAGTCGAGACGGGTTCACGACGACTGAACTACTTTCGGCCTGGAAATTCTGAGACATTTAACGTGTCTTAATGTTTTGTTCTTTTTTTTCTATCAATAAAATAAAACTTTAGGAGGTTAGTTTACAAAAGTGTTACGGAATACTCACAGCTCTTAATGAAAAATGGAGGCGAACTTTTTGGGGGAAGTATTTATATGAATTAACAAAAGAATCTTGTGAGTTGCTGGTAACATATTGTCTAAATGTAGAGATGTTCACGCGACAAAGTTTGGTTAATACACGTGATTACTTCATGTGAATACGAATACTATGACATGATTCAGATGTTTGTTACTGAGTGACTAAAACTCGAGATGATTCACCAACATTATCGAAGCTTCGTTTAAAATATGTGAGTCTTTAGATTTTATTGCCTAAGAGAAGAAATATTTAAACATTAGATCCAAAGGTCATTGATATTGAAAGCTGTACAATATTCTAAAACCAATCATTGTAAATCATCAAATAATATGATCTTCAACAGTACATAGAGATTGATACACTCCAAAAACCATTTCAAAATAAACACCGCGACTCCTGTTGTCTCGGTAAGGCTGTCAAAATCCACCATCCGTTGTGTCATATTATTGTCTCACACAAGATGCATTATGGAGCAGTATCCATAAATCATAAATATTTTGTTCCCTATCGTACAACAGCGTCAGTATGAGCATCTCCAAATATCTTTCGTTTACTGTTATTCATCTTCCTTTTACCAACAGTAGCGCTCTTATACAACGTTGGTCATCACACCTTATAACTTTGTCCTAGATCTCAATAACAGTAGAAAATTAAGTTAGTGTAATATAAGGAATAGTTTACAGGTTCGTTAATATATGAGAGACTCGAACCAATGGGGGTCATAGGTGCGTGAGTCGATGTTTACTTTCGTGAGAAGGAAAACATCTAGTGTAAACATCATATTTCGTATAATGAATCTTAATATAAATACGTAGTTAACATAATCAACCTTTGTTAACACCGACAATCATCAAAATCGTACCACAATATTCACAAGTTATTTATAGGGTAATCAATGGACATAATTTTACACGCCTGGGGCTCTCATTGATACCTGCTGATGTGATTACGTGTATGACAGGTACACACGGGTGACAATGAAGGGAATAGAACACAATGAACCGTGTGATAAGATGGATGATGAGAAATACGGTGTGAAGACGACGAGAGAGAGAGAGAGAGAGAGAGAGAGAGAGAGAGAGAGAGAGAGCCATATAACAAACCGGACCAACTATAACGACAAATAATCCCATTAACGATTATCAATATGACTCTTGGTGCCAGAAACTAAGACTTAATGAACGGTCCTTGATAATGCAGGTAGTTGAAACACGTACAGTATATATGGAGAGAAACAACAAACATGACAATAATGAAACTCACTTGCTTAAAAATCCGAAAACTTAACTTGATATAAATACAAAAGAACTTAGCAGCGAGTCAGTTAGGTGATGAGGCATTCAGGTAATTCTCAACCCATACATAACTCACAAATATAACCAACCAAAACGATAACCCAAACAAAGGATCCGCTATACAGGTGGAAAGACGCTCAGGTAATTATTAACCATACAGAGGTGATCAGCCACACAGGTAATACAGAGTTGATCAGCCACACAGGTAACACAGATGTGATCAGCCACACAGGTAACACAGATGTGATCAGCCACACAGGTAATACAGAGTTGATCAGCCACACATGTAACACAGAGTTGATCAGCCACACAGGTAATACAGAGTTGATCAGCCACACAGGTAACACAGATGTGATCAGCCACACAGGTAACACAGAGGTGATCAGCCACACAGGTAACAGAGGTAATCAGCCACACAGGTAACACGGATGTGATCAGCCACACAGGTAACAGAGGTAATCAGCCACACAGGTAACACGGATGCCACACAGGTGATCAGCCACACAGGTGTGATCAGCCACACAGGTAACAGAGGTAATCAGCCACACAGGTAACACGGATGTGATCAGCCACACAGGTAACAGAGGTAATCAGCCACACAGGTAACACGGATGTGATCAACCACACAAGTAACAGAGGTAATCAGCCTCACAGGTAACACGGATGTGATCAGCCACACAGGTAACACAGAGGGGATCAGCCACACAGGTAACAGAGGTAATCAGCCACACAGGTAAACCAATCAGACCCTCACACCTACCTTGGTAGAGTCGACCCCCTCGACCAAGGCTCTGGTCCTCTCACTGGCACGGACGGTCGTCTTCAGAAGGCCGTTGACGTAGACGTGGTAGGACTCGATGGATCCTGGAGGCGCGTCCGGAGGTGGATTCCAACCGATGACGATACTCTTGTTTAGCTGTCGTTCGAGGGTGAGCTGGACCGGCGGTGGGACTAGCACCGAGAAGAAGAGGTCTAGTTAAGAGAAGGGCTGTGTCACTAAGCTAGCTCCATGCATGGTAAGCGGGGCAGCAGGCAGAGTGGCAGCGGTAGCGACAGCGGTAACAGCAGGAGCAGCAGCCGTAACGGTAGGAGCAAAAGTTTACTGTTTTTAGCAGCCGTTGTTGTGGTGGGAGCAACTGGTATCTTTGCTTTTGGCGCTCTAGCGATAAAAAAGACAAGGAAGTGGAGGCTGAAGGAAGCTACACTACCGCACGGCCGCGGCAGGGAGCGGTACCTGGCCAGCTATGGCGCCCCATGCAGCGCTGCACCACTTGACCGATATTAAATCAGGCATCCACACTACGCCCATCATCAACAACCCGGCCCCATGTCATAACCCTGGGCCATTCTCTAGCTCAACTTACATAAAAAAATAATAATATATTGAATGCAAAAATTTAATGAAACAAGATCGTGCAATGCAAGTATCGTTTACACCGACAAATGCGATATTTAAGAGTCAGACAAAATAGAATGCCCACAAACTGCCCATGATTCTGTCTAATTGAGCGGCTCTGCCTTCTAAGGCTACAAAGATCACTAGAAAATTATACATATGTCATAAACAGGCACACAGCAAAAAATTAAGGCAAGACGTATAATAAAAACAAGGCAGATGATCGTTCGTGATACAATCAGTGGTGGTGGGGGTGGATGGTGTCACGGTGGGGGTGGATGGTGTCACGTAGGGGGTGGGGGTGGATGGTGTCACGTAGGGGTGGGGTGGATGGTGTCACGTAGGGGGGGGGTGGATGGTGTCACGTAGGGATAAAAGGTTAAAAATAATAACAAATATAACCTTCTATCACCAGAGAAAAATCCAGGTACCCTACAAAACTAACTGACTCTCTACGACTAAAGTTTGTCTCTACGTTAACACTGGTCTTCTACTACGCCACGGGACGGAAAATTAAACTCGTACTGTTCTACTGTTGTGATGCATCAATGGCTACCAGAGAGAGAGAGAGAGAGGAAGGTTGTCTTAAAGGTAGTCTGTTTAGTTCTACTGTTTATATATATATTGTGAGCCGAGAGTCGAAGGTCTTTGTGGGTATTGTGGTATAGCGAGTCCCTGTTTTTATAATAGTCCCCGTTACTTTTTTGTGTCATTCGATCGTTTTCTCTGGAGTTTTTCTTCTTCTCATTTTCTTCCTATGTCTAATTTTATTTTTATCTATTTTGGGGGAGGGGGGACATTTTTTTTATTGACTCCCCATCAATAATAATATCTACTTGATTTTTATTATTTTTTTTTATTAATTTTTGTATTTTCATTTCGCTTTTTCAATATTTATATATGAAATAATTTTGTGAATATCGAAATAATAACTAATCATTTTCTTTTCATTCTCTTCTACTTTATCTTATTAATTTTGTTACCCCATCTTTCTCCCGTTTTACTTAAGTTTCCCCCTTAATTATTTTCGGTTTTCCCTTATTGTAGACACGAATTGACTACAGGTGTTATATTTTTATTCACCTCACCTCATGTCGTTCCTCTCTTTTTCATATCTATTCAGTCATATTTTATCTTGACCTTCCCTACTTACATTCTCTCTCTCTCTCTCTCTCAAACATCTCAAAATACATTTTCATCTAAGCATCTCTCTCTCCCTTCTCGTTCTCCATCTCCACACACACACACACACACACACACACACACACACCCAAAACCACCGATTCACCAACCACACACATACCCCCTATCGCCCGCCAGTTTCTTTTAATATTCCACAGACCTTCGACTCTCCGCCCAGCTGGTAGATGCTCTGATCGTCGACTTACTTTCTGGCCTACCAAGCAGCCTGCCTTGTGCTAGAAGTCGTCTCTCTAGAAAATTTTTAGTATTGTATTATTAGTTGGAACTAATGGGTGGTGGTGGTGGCTAATATTTTTGTTGACTATGTTGATCTACAGAAAAAAAAACCAATTATACACATTGTTGTCTCTGATGGTGACGGTGGCAGCGGCTTGAGGCTCAGTTTCGACAGATGGACTTTATGGGAAGGACACGTGGGTTTGGTGTAACTTTTGTTGGTGTCAATGAGGATTCTTTTTTTATTGTATTCTTGACTGACTTACTGACTGACTGACTGATATATTGAGAGAACTTTTAACGAGTCCATACTGACGAAAGCTTATGGCGATATTTTTTTGGGGTTATTCTTGTTATTGTTGTTGTACATATTTGTTAATGAGTGAGGCTCTTGTTACGTGATTTTAATCCGGTGTAAAATAAACTGACAACATATACCATACTGGAAGATGTTTATATTATACCAATAGATAATCCGCAAACTCTTTAGTAATTTATGGTAAGAAATATGATAGGAATTGCCAGAAAAAAGTCGTAGTTAAAATTTGGCAGTGTGTCTAGACTCTGGCATATATATATATATATATATATATATATATATATATATATATATATATATATATATATATATATATATATATATATATATATATATATATATATATATATGTATATATATATATATATACTGAATATAATTACACTCTAATACTATGAATAGGAGCACTATGGTCGAATGGATACTACGCTCGTTTCCTGTTCCAGGGAACGGTGGTTCGATTCCCAGCTGTAAATGGGTACCTAAATTTACAATTTGAGGAAGTGAAGACGGTCGAGTGCAGTACCACCGGCCCTGCTGCCTCCTTGCGTACTGAAGGCTTAGTATACAGTGTACTGTATCCTCACTGCAGTCATGCCTATGGGACCCACTTTCGCTCTACTGTGTATATACATCGTTTACTGGCAATAATAGATCAGTCCACAAAAGTCATGAATCATGTGGCCTCGTGCCAAAACTCTACGGACTGACGCTGTGATACATGTGTTGTCCTCGAGCACCGTAAGTTACGACTCGCTTCTTCCCCCACCATGTGGACAAGACGCAGCTGACGACACGAGAGCCGGGTGGGAGTGCCCTTAGGACCACCGCAACTAGTGTGAATTCATATAACGACACCCGAGGTCATATAAAGTTATTAGAGGTGACTGTGCTTAATATACACCTTTGCTTTATGTCTATATTTTTCATCCATGCTTTCTGTTTTATCATCTAATTTTGGTCTATGAGTTTATTTTTACGTTAAGGCTTTATACGATCCACAGTCTCAAGGCTGCAGGACCACCACCACCACCACCACCACCACCATCAGGCTCTTATAGAAGATAGTCCTGGTAGCAGCTCGTGTTATCTCTAGATACTTTATACCAAGATGCTGTGAGGGGTGAGTCAAGACACAAGTCAATAAGAACAAAAGGTCAGCACAAAGGTCAACACGAGGTCAACACAAGGTCAACACGAGGTCATTTATCACTAAAAGAGTTCCTACCAGTGATTCTAATTTGATTTCTTTACCCCAGTCCAAAAGGGTATTGGGGGTCCCTAAGACCTAGACCTTCTCAAGACTTACAGCACAGCCTTGTCTATTATCTGTGAACATCTCGAACCATTGTGTATGTAAGTGTGAACTAATGACTCTTCTTGATCCTAGCTATTGAACTTATTAATCTCTAACTAGTGAACATACCATACAGGTGTGTTAACTATCATGAATTAAACTTAAATTATAATTCTTAAGAGTAAAGAATATTGAGAGTCGTCTAACGTCTATATAAAGTTAACTAAGTAAAAGTTCTCTACCTTGAGCACAAAACATGAATCAAATATCTCACTTCTTCTGTCTTGTCCTACAGGTAAACTCAATACATCCCTTCTCACCTGCGAATTAACTGTGCTCTGCTACCATAAACTCAAACTTCAGAGTACTTGTGTTTTGATATCTCCTAATGATAAAAATTTTCTCCCCATTATCTTACCGTTTGATCTAAGTCCATCAGTAAATCATTATTCCTTCATTATTAACTAAAACTCATGAACATATATCTCAGTTATTTTATTGTTCGAGCATCAACTCAAAACACGACCCAAATATTGTACTACTTGCCAACTAGTCAGTAATCTTCCTTCATAACTCAACTGACTCACTATTCATCTACCACTGACTCAAAAAAACAAACATGACTGGAATAAATTGCTGAGAGGGAGAGGAGGTGAGGTGGGTACGTGTATCCTCTAAGGGCACGAATATTATCTGCTGGTGATAAAGGGTGTTTTGTTTTTTCTCTCTCCTTGATGCAACACACTAAGTACATTATCATCCCTAGTGCCGGGTAGAGGCTAGCGAGCAGCGTCACTAGAGGAGCTATGATATCGAGCCTTCAGTTAAGTGTTAGTTTTATCTCCATTAAGCTATAGTTTATTTATTTATTGTTTTTTTTTATAAGTGAGGATTTATTTTTTTTTTAGTTTTTTATTAAGAAATTAACCTGAAGCTTATGTTATTTAAGTTAGTTATTTAAAAATGTTAATATCCTTTTTAGTTGTTTTTATTTCGATGAGGAAACCGTCATTTGAACAGTTCAATCTGATTTTGCATAAACAAAGCAAATTGTTGAACATCATAGCTGTTACGTTAGTTATATGATCGTGTAAATATTCTTCCCGTTGACAGTTAACTCAATAACATGTCCTCAGAACCTTGACGTCTTGGAGATTCTTACTCAAGGCTCTAAATAGCTTATCCAGTTGACAATTATTGAGAAAGGGGATGATACAAAGGGGGGCCGGGGGGAGGGGAGCTAAGACCTGCTGAGCTAGGGGGAGCACAGACCAGCGACAGGGAGCGTCTATGTAAACTAATAATTTTGAGTAAAATAGTGGGAGGGGGAGGCGCGGCCAGCCATATATATCTCGTAAATGTATATATGTCTATATATATATATATATACAAATATCAAGCCAAAAAGTGGACACTGAGAGGTTCTGAGAGGGGCAGAATGGCTGCATGTGCATGACACAGTAAAGTGCAAACCCTGAAAAAGTTCCGACACACGTTAGGAAGACATATGACTCTGTTCAGTGTCAGTACTTCCTTTAATCAACATTCTGAGTTGACTCTTGTTGACTCTTTCAAGAACAGGACTGACAATTAACATCATTCCTGTCTCGGTGTATTTGCTACCAGATTCTGTTTACTAAAAAAATAAGTATACTAAAATTTACTTCACAGGACTGACCATCGTCATCTGGGTCACCACTGGACAACAAATATTCAAGAAATGTGATCATTAATAGGTGTGTGTAGGTGTGTGCAGGTGTGTGTATAGGTGTGTGCAGGTGTGTGTGTAGGTGTGTGCAGGTGTGTGTGTAGGTGTGTGTAGAGAGAGGCAATATAATGTACTTGTCACGACACTGTACTTATAAAAAACTAATAACATTAACCCCCTAAAATATATTGATTTATCTGAGTAGCAAATTCACCAAGAGAAGGTCACCAGCCACTCGGAGACACTCGGAACAACTGAAGCAGGTGTGTCATCTCTGCAGGTACAGTACTCGCAAGGAAGCATCATCAATCAAGGTTCCTCTGCAGCTATTACGAATGACTTGAACCACTCGTACTTGTGGTATCAAAGCTTCACTAAGAGGCAATACAGATGAAATGAGACAGGAAGAGATCTTACCATGTTCTCCTAGGGTCTCCTCGTCCTCCTCTATGATGTCCTCCAAGTCGATGTTGCTCGTGTAGGCGTTGTGCCGCATCTGGGTGGAAGCCATGTCTGTAGAAGGTGGAGGGGGGGGAGGGGGGGGAGGTGGGAGAGAGAAATAATGCATCAGTTAGGTAAGAAATGCGTTCGTTAGTTAGGTAAGAAATGCGTTCGTTAGTTAGGTAAGAAATGCGTTAGGTACGGAAGAATGCATTAGACACGTAAGAAACATATGAGTAACGAAAGAAATCCGTATAGTTAAGAGAGACACATATTCGAGACATATCTCCTATAGTCTTTAAGGGTGTTCCCCACTTTATCGAGACAAAGAGGGTGAGTGACGAGTCTTATTTTCCTCGTATTGATGAAGGAGTCTTATTAGCTGTCTTTCTTAACCTACTTGAATATAGAGACTAATGAAGGTAACATCAAGAGGCTTTACTTGAAACCCATGGAATATCTAAACCAATTATGGAATAGAATCAGGGAAGTTTTTATACTTGTTTTATGAATTATATTACTAAAGCTTATGTCATGTTACTCTCATTTTGTTGTTGTTGGTTGTTGTGGTGTTATTGGTTGTTGTGGTGTTGTTGGTTGTGGTCGTTGTTTGTGGTCGTTGGTTGTGAATGTTGGTTATTGTTGTTGGTTCTGGTTGTCGTCGGTAGTAGTGGTGATGTTGGTCGTGTTAGTGTTGCTGGTGGTGTTGTGGTTGTGTATCCCTATCGTCTGCTTCACTATATACAACCTCGACTACTACACCGTCTGGCTACAGGTTCCCACTAAGACAAGACTCCTGCCAGATACACACCGTCAGGATAAAGTGAGGAACACCAGAGAATAAGTCTCACTACTGTAGGTCAGGTAAGTCTCCCGTGTGCCATATAAGAGAGGCCATAGTACATAAATGTGAATTATAAGAAACTTTATTACATAAACTGACATTAACATATGTACCTTACAGGCACTCTGACTCACTGTGGTGATTATGGAAAACCTTTTGCATTAATTTATTAATGATAGACTACTTCTGTGACGTAGGGAGCTGTGGCATATATGACCCTTTGTGTAAGCTTATTTATTATCTGTATTGTACACGGGAGGTATTGTAAATATATTAAGCAATATTCACATTCATTAATGTTGACGGCATGTCGTTTCTCAAAACCAATACTTGCAAAAGAATTAACATAATGTATTATATATATATATATATATATATATATATATATATATATATATATATATATATATATATATATATATATATATATATATATATATATATATATATATATATATATATCAAGAGTGCAGGCAAGCAGAAGAAACATTAATTCTGATGAGCAGTCCATAACATAACATAATGTCATGAATATGAATGAAAGAATGAAGTGGAGGATGAGACAGTATTGGTGAGAAGACCTCAAGTTGTCGCAGCTCGCCTTGATCAACAACTACTGTACACTCACACCGTCAATGACGCCAGACTGTACCACGGTAATATTGTAAACATATATATATATATATATATATATATATATATATATATATATATATATATATATATATATATATATATATATATATATATATATATATTATTAATAATAACAATTTTACAATCAGACGGCCTGAGTAAACTTGAGTCCGCTTCTTTAATGTCATGCCAAGAGCAGAGAGAGAGAGGAGAGAAGGGAGGCATTCCACCATGATGCTCACACATCTGTACACACACATGCAGGGAGGAGACCGTCGGGGAGACAGACACTTAGACATTCTGGTTAGCAAGTAACAAGTGAACCAGGGAAGATATATCACAGGGGTTATAAGGTTTTTATATATATATATATATATATATATATATATCCACTGTATATGCACATTGCAGTGTAGTATAAGGTGCTTATAGGAGTGTCATGCAATTCCTAGAGAACACATCTCTGGAGGCCACATACATGAGCGTAGTTTATCATCTTATTTAAGTCAACATAAAAACACATTCAAACCAAAATCCCAGAAAGCCGAAGACAGAGAGCGCTGGCCGAGAGTGAGACACAACTGGTGAGACTTACACTTTACTTCTCAACACTTATGGTAAAGAAAGAGAAGGGGCCACGTAGTGAGAAAAGGTCACCATAAAGAGCCAAGGGTCAAGGGTCTCAGCTGTGTGTTGTGGTTCTTTAGCGTCGAAATATCAAAGGCACGGGTTAGCGGTCTCGTCTGTCCGCCGACTGAGACGCAAGCAATGGTAGAAAGGAAGAGAGAGAGAGAGAAAAGAGACTGAAAGAGACAGAGAAAGAGCAAGAGGAAAGGCAATCGAGAGTGACAAGTGAGAGGTTGTGTTGTCTGTGCATGTGAGTATTGGGCGGGTGATGGTGACGAGTGTAGAGATAATATTGCCTTCATAACTTGCAGTGGTAGAGCTAATATAATACTTGTCGTAAAGGAACACACGCCACTCATGGTCACTACCGGGCGGACCTTCCTATGTAGTGCCGTGTGTTATATACAGCTGCTGGGCATCATGAGCAGTTAAACCCTTTTATCATATTATAATTTTCCTAAAAAAAAATTAATGAACAGAATAAAAAAAAAAATATAAATGTTAGGTCACTCTTACACTGTCGCAGATGAAGAACAGTTGATGCCTCACATATTACTGTAATATATAATGTGAATGATAACAGTGATGAACGTAATTGTTATACCTGTTAATCCCTGTAGTTTACCTGGTGGTGTGAGGTAGTTATTAATCCAGTCTATGGTATATTTTTTCATCTTAAACTGCAACCCTATTGACCTAATTTTCTACCCAAAGAGTGACCGTATAATATATTTAACCCTCCACCCCCCAGGTAATCTCCGGTCTAATAGCAGCAGAACTGGTCTGTAGGATATATTTGTCCTATCCATGATGAGGATGAAACTACATCTATTAAACGCAACATTCTAACACCAGCAGGGTTATGGAACAGGAAAATTACACACACAAAAAATGGTCTTCAAATGTGTGTCCTGGACGAGTCAAACTACTAAGACATGCTAACCGCATCATCACTACTGTTGTCTAACTTCATGAGACCTTAAGGCTATCTAAAACTAACTGTCGTCACGGAGCCTGTGATCTCTCTGAAACAAGCTTTGCAGCAGCTTCAGTGATCCATCAGCAGGTGGATATGGTCTCAGTCTAACGCCAGCTTGAAAATAAAAATGTTTTACATAAGCAAAGTTTTAGTATCCTAAACTATAAATATATGTTAGTAGTATTACTCATCTTGTACAAGTTCAATATCCTGAGAAGAAAACAGAATAAAGAGTGAAGTCACAACACGTGGATCTCGGCCAATGAAATTAATCCTGATCCCCGAGTGATAAACGCACGTGTCCCCTATTGGTGGTGGTGGACAGGTTCAAACTAGGTCGACAAAGAGACATTCCAAGACCCTGGTGAAGTATACTGAGGTAAACCACGTATCAGAAAGAAATTATTTCACTCTGAAATTGAACGATCCCAAGACTGGATATTCAGAAATTCTAGATGATAAATTTTATCTGGCACTCAGGCATAACATCTGCAAGACGGGACGAAAGGAATACCTGGATGACTACAGCTGAAACCCGAGTGAATTAATTTATGGCGTAAATAAACTTCTCTCACCAAACAACCTTCAAGTTAGAATCATTGAGAGATGTTCAACCAAGATTTACAATGAACGATGACAGAGTAATGCTTAACTCAGTACCACGACCATCTATACTGCGACAGGGAGTAATGTTCAGCTCAGTACCACGACCATTTATACTGTGACGGCAGTAATGTTCAGCTCAGTACCACGACCATCTATACTGCGAAAGGGAGTAATGTTTAGCTCAGTACCACGACCATCTATACTGCGACAGGGAGTAATGTTCAGCTCAGTACCACGACCATTTACACTGTGACGGCAGTAATGTTCAGCTCAGTACCACGACCATCTATACTGCGACAGGGAGTAATGTTTAGCTCAGTACCACGACCATCTATACTGTGACAGGGAGTGATGTTCGCTCAGTACCACGACCATTTATACTGCAACAGGGAGTAATGTTTAGCTCAGTACCACGACCATCTATACTGCGACAGGGTAATGTTTAGCTCAGTACCATGACCATCTATACTGCGACAGGGAGTAATGTTCAGCTCAGTACCATGACCATCTATACTGCGACAGGGAGTAATGTTTAGCTCAGTACCACGACCATCTATACTGCGACAGGGAGTAATGTTTAGCTCAGTACCACGACCATCTATACTGCGACAGGGAGTAATGTTCAGCTCAGTACCAAGACCATCTATACTGCGACAGGGAGTAATGTTTAGCTCAGTACCACGACCATCTATACTGCGACAGGGAGTAGTGTTCAGCTCAGTACCACGACCATCTATACTGCGACAGGGAGTAATGTTTAGCTCAGTACCACAACCATCTATACTGCGACAGGGAGTAATGTTTAGCTCAGTACCATGACCATCTATACTGCGACAGGGAGTAATGTTCAGCTCAGTACCACGACCATCTATACTGCGACAGGGAGTAATGTTTAGCTCAGTACCACGACCATCTCTACTGCGACAGGGAGTAATGTTTAGCTCAGTACCACGACCATATTGGCCATGGATATTATACCCGGAGCTGTGTGGTACTGATACGATGGAAAGGGTGAAATTATAAACAGTGAATAATACCATAAGTACAGTAATTAATAAGTTTAATTACTCATCATTTAGTGAATGAATATGATGAATGATATAGAGAAATTCACCACCACCTGGGACAGTATTTATAATGAAGAATTTATACCGGATGATGAATGAAAAGACAAGTGGTACCGAGTATTAATATATAATGTTACAGAAATACTAATATGCGGATGATATTTGTATGGGGTGTATGATAATGTATGATACAACGTAATCATGTTATGGATGTATTCTTAGAGCATAAAGTGTTCTATAATGAGGTATAGTAAGATCACCTGTTATTTGTGTTGCATTATATATTCACATTTGTATTATGATTACTTATAGAATTAAGAATTAATATATAATGAATTTTACATTATGTATTTTTTTTAGTGGTATTGATATTAATAAATTGGTGAATAAAGAAAATGCATTGTGGTTTTTTTTTCTTTTCTTTTTTTTATGTGTAACAGAGATGCAATATGTAAGAGTTAAGATGCCGCCATACTAGAGGTACATTTTGCTCGCCAACATGTGATTGACAAGACGAAATGAGACACAGGGGGTCCAACTCTGGTAGGGTGAGTCCGGGTGTACTAGATCGGTGTTTCCTCTTGTTGATCACATGTTGGCAACAAATTGTACGCTAGTGTGGACGCTCCTATGTACCTCCATATTATCAAGACTACTTATATTATGAGACATATATGAATAAGATCTTGTAGGATGGTGTGTCACAACTACAGTACACGTCTCTGACTATTATTTTATTGTTCTGTTGTGTATATTATGTGGTAATGGGGCTAAGGGTGGTATATGTTATGTTGGGGCCAAAATAGGGCATCCCTGTGTTGTTAAGGTGTGCAATATATACTGGCAAGAGCATTTATACTGCATAACCGCCGGTATATTCAATGGCTGCAGCAGTCCTGGCGTCATCCATCATACAACCAATCAGATTTATTTATTGTTTTATAAATCACTCCCAAGTCATAATTCAAGCCACGATGCACTTCTACAAAGATCTGATGTATATTTATGTATATATATATATATATATATGAAATGTGAAATCAAAATGCAGCACTCAGGAAGCATCGCCAACTGCCCTGGTTCTAAGAGAGTCAGGTCTTTAGAGACTCCTGCAGAAGGCCAGGGCGGAGGGGAAGCTTTATTAGGGGGTAGAGGGGAGCGTGACCATGGTAAGAACGTCACCGACACCACCTCAACACATGCCCACTGCCACCACCAGTGAACAGCGTCATAGTCTGAAGCAGTGATGAGGAAACACGTACTGTACTCATATTGTTTTGGGAAGGTTCCTTTTTTCTAGAAGCCTCGTAAAGAAGATTCAGGGAACTAAAGTAGAAATGATTAAGACTGTAGCTGGATTAGAGTAAGTGGGTGGTTGTGTGTGGGCGTGGCAGCGGTGTGACAGGGGTGGTGACAGTAGGCAAGACCTTCCTGACCATGGTACGGGCGCTATTGTTGCTGGAAGGACAAGTAAGAAGGACCCAATGAAAGAGTCCCTCTTACCCGCTCTTCTAACAACCTGCGTCCCCCGAGAGAGTACTGGCGGGAGAGTGCAGAGGGCGAACGTACTAGCGGGTAGGGCGCCGTGCTGGGCAGGGTCCTTCTGCCCTGCTTGTGATGCCAGGGGGTTGAAGGAGCCGAGGGGGTTGAACAGCCCCTGCACCTGGCCAGACTGGGGTATCAGAGGCCCCTTAGGGAAGAAAGCTTGTGCGGCCGACCCTGTGGACCCCAGCACGGTCGACACCAATGTGGGAGCCTCACTTTTTTCGCCTTGCCCGAAAAGTCCTTGAACACCCTTGAAGATGTTTTTTACAAACTGTACGGGCGCCTTGGTATCTGCGAGAAAACCGAGACGATCATCACGCCTGGCTGGGGTAGAGCGGGACTACGGCCTCGCGATCACTCTAAGTTTCTAGCTAGTCCTAAGACACCTACGGCCCTCCCATCCACACCACACCCAAAAATCTATACTGGTGGGGGGACGGTGGGTTTATCATTACTCTAGCTAAGCTGGGTGGGCTCCTGTCAGCCCGGAGTGTTGGCTACAGCTAGCGAAGCCAGGAGTGGGTGTTGGTAGGCAGCAGGGAGGCTGTGCCGGCCCCGCGTGCTGGTCTGCTCTACCTGGCGGTGCTGGTGTGGCTGGTGGCTGTTCAGTCTGCTCGAGTGGTGGTGTGGTGAAGCCGACTTGTATAGCGGGTGCATGTCTCACTAGGGAAGGGGCGGTGCTACCAGCAGGACCACCACCTGTCACCGGCTTAGCGGCCGGCTCCAGACGGCAGAGTCAGAGTCCAACACCATGTCCACTCACGCTCTCACGGCCAACAACATCTTATGATCTCAAGTTTTATAATTGAGCTGATATTATCTTTACTAAAACAGTGGTACAGTTATTTAGATACACTAGTTGTTAATTATTACCATTTATTTATTGAAAAAGATTAGCTTCAGCTATTGAATGCAAAATTGTAGTATGATTTACGTGAGAATAACTGGATTACGCTAGTTAAACATCAAGTCAGACATTATAAACAAGACAGGAACATTAGTGGATACTAATTGTGTTCTCTGCCTCATCACAAACTCTTTGATAGCATTACCGCACACAGAGCTTAGTTATGAGACCAGAATAGAGTGACTGAGTGTCGGTGTTCAGTAACCTCACGAAACACACAAAAGAAATGTTACAGCGAACACCCTGGACAGATGAGAGACTCTGACTGTGGCATCGTAGGCGGAGGAGAGAGGGAGGGAGGGAGGGAGGAAGTCTGGGGCGAGAGAGGGAGATACTGGCGAGTCACTACCGGACACCTCTATAAGGACACAGCCAAGACACCTAAGGAAGAGTTAGGAAGGAGACTGCAGAAGTGAATGGCTTTGACAAGAGGCGTTGCTGGTGAAGCGATTAAACAAAATAACTAGTAGGTACTGGATAATAACTTCTGCAACGTGTGGAAAACGTATAATAATGAAAGTCTAACTCTAAAGCTGGGAATAGTAACTAGGTGGCGAGAAGTAATAACATAGTTTGACATAAATGTGTTAGTAGTAATCATCAATGGCAATAGAGCATAATAGTTTCTTATACCATAAAGGAGAATCTCAAATTGAAGACGTCAACAAAATATCAAATTTATCAACAATAGTGACAAAATAATTAAAGAAAAAAGTGTGAAAACAGTGAAGTCACAAATAGTTCAATAACAATAATAGTATTTTCTTTACTCAATTTTTTTTATCTTTGAAATAGAGTTGAAATAATTCATCATGAATGTATATATACAGTATATATATCACAATAGGAACTAAAGTTAAAGCAAAAAAAATAGAGGAAATGGTAGATGACTGTCAGCACAAGTGATGTGTAAAATTATGATCGGTGGTAATACAAAGGAGAAAAATCCAAATAGGGAGGACAGTGATAGCCCGGCCTTATACTGTGCCTGGGAGTGATGAGAGAGAAGCGGAGTGAGAAACAGCTCAAAAACATCACTATCAACACCATACCTATCATGAGCTGTGACTCGTCCTGAGAGATAAAGTCCAGGTCCTGAGGAACTGAGGTAGACATGGACTCGTCGCCGTCTCTGAGGCCCATCACCACAGACTGGTGGAACTCGATGAGGTCTTCACCGATTAGTTTCTCCACGAAGTTGGATGGGACGAGACCCCGTCGCCCGTCTAGCAGCTCCCCGTCAAAAAACCCGTCCTACAGAGCGTGTAGAGAACACCGTCAGATTAGATACTTGAATACAGAGACAGGGTTTCTTCCTCTCTGCTAGAGGATTAGCAGCAAAAGTTGGCCAGAACGATTCCGTGAATAAAATCCTTAAATTATATTAAAGCTCAGACAAGCAACAACTCACTTCTTAAAGAAAAAAAATATCCTTTACTGTATATAATAACTGAAAGAGTTAAACAAAAGATCCGTATATAATACTCTAATACTTGGTCAATTTACCAGGACAAAATGCCCTTAAAGAAAGGTCTTTCAAGTAAAGATTACAAAGTGGCTTTGAAAACAATTAATTCACCAAGATGTGGAAATATTTCGTTCCAGCCCACCTTTAGGAGCAGCGATACACTGTGCATTCATGTCATGCCATAGCAATATACAGTATATAGCAGTCAATATCCAAAACAAACCAAGTGAGAGAACCTCCGCGTTTCACCAGGGATTCTGAAGGAGATGAGAGGAGGAGAGAGAGGCAGGTCTTCTAGTTATAAAGGGAGGGATTTATATTCCTTGATTGCAGTCTACAAGTACTCCAGGAAGGTTTTTTTAACACTGGAGCTACTTAGGGAGTCTATGAATGTGTATACAGTCATATATATATATTTCTATACAAGATACATGTGTGTAATTCTCATGAAGGCAGGTATAAAGATGCATCCATATATGTTATACTTAAGTAAAATGATTTTATGAATGATTGTAATGTCGTACATACATTTATATACAAAATACACTAACATAATGGACATATATGCATGTCCTTTGGGATATGAATACATTTTTCAGCTGTATACGTGTATAAGACATTCATAATTCGAAATGAAGGGGAAATGCAAGGTTATCAAGATACAATATTCTACTACTACAGAATGGAGAATTGCCATCAGTAGCAGCGGCAGAGTTCACACAGTACCAAATCTAAGAACATCCGAAAGGGGTTGTGATTTTCTTTTCTTTTCGTTTTAGTTCAGATAAAAGTAGTCTCTTCTGAATTATCTGGCGATGCAACTAAAGTTATATGAGATGGTCATTCCATACAGGCACTCCAAGCTCGGCTCATAAGCATAAGCTGAACCGCAAAATAATTACAGAAACAACAACAACAACAACAACAACAAAAATCTGTGTTTAGTTTGTTTGCTGTATGGAGAGGATTGATGGTAAAACTATCTTAATCTTTTCCAGCTTGCAAAACAATGTATTCTGAATCGATTAACAAACACAACACAAATATTATCGACATTGGCTATAACTTTATATTAATTTAGTATACTTGTTAACCATCAACTCTCAGTTAGGATTCAGAGTTCAACACTGACGTCAAATGACCACCACCACCTCTGCCAAATATTTATTCCACTATTTTATTCAGTAGTGAAGGTTATGCACATTAGACATGTACTATCAGCAGTCAGCAACCTGAAAGCACACGGAGCGAGAGAGAGAGAGAGAGAGAGAGAGAGAGAGAGAGAGAGAGAGAGAGAGAGAGAGAGAGAGAGAGAGAGAGAGAGAGGCTGGATCAACCAATACCCCGTAAACATGTAAACAAATCCAGAGAAACCAGAGGAAATTATGTTATTCTCTTTCATATCTGTTCTCTTGTAATCATTGATGTGATGTAATGGACGGGGAACTTAAAAACTGGTATAGAATGCAAATTTCTACCGAGTAGCAAGGGAGCGAGGGAAGAAATGAAGAAAGGCAGGGAGGGAGGAAGGGAGGAAAGGAGAGGAGGAAATGCAGAGCGGAGCAGAGAAAAAGCTGAGAAAACTGATTAGCCAACGTGCAGAGAGATGCAGAGAGTTAGGAAAGAGAAAGAAGTTTCGCCTGAGACCTCCAATGACACACCCGCCTACAACATACTGTACTGTAGTGATGTTGGTTGTGGCCTCAAACTTCTTTTTGGGTGTTTTAAAACGTGTGTTCTGTGTGTGCTTTAAACAGTTTTTTTTTTTAGACAGTACGTGTGTGTTTAAGACAGAACGTGTGTGTTTTAAATCATACTGAAGTTCTTAACCGTGTGTACATTCAAAGGAAAAAGTCGCATTACACTCATCATGGCCTTATGTTATAAAACCCATGACGAAGAATCTGGGTAAACTTCCCCGATCAGATTCAAGCCTCCCAAGTTTCGCTGTCACACTTGCCAAATTATTCGTCATGGTATAAGGAACATAACGCAAGGGGGGAGTGTAACACGATTTTTTTTTTTAAGTATGTGTTTTAAAAAAGAACTTAAGTGCTTTAGAAAGTACAGGTATGTTTAAAAAGTACATATTCAGCATGTTTTAGAAAGTACATAGATGTTTCAAACGTGATCGTCTTTATCTTAATTTATAGGTCTGGATAATGGCGCAAGGGTTTGAGTGATAGTTTATGGGGTTGAGTAGTGGTGTATGGGGTTAGGGGTCTATCGTGTTGTATGGTCGTTCCGTTATAGGGTTGTGTGGTAGTCGTGACTTAGTCGTGTACGGGAATATATGTAGGTTGTCGTGTGCTGGTGGTGTGGTAGTGTGCAAGGCAGGGTGGTCGTTGCAGGGATCAGGTCAGAGGTCACCCCGGGGTTCTCACTATAGTACGGGGGGCTACCTCGTCCATGGAGCCCCACACCAACACGTAGTCCCCGGCGTTCACTGCCAGCTCCGCCTCCGGGTTTTCGTTCGGTGAGTGCTGGAACGGGTCGTACGAGTATCTGTGGAGACGAGGTGGTGTTAAGATGGTCCCTGGTTACCTGGTAACGCTCACCTAGACATGTGTTCACAGTACTTAATTAAAAAGACTCTACATACATATATACAAACATAACAGATCCCTAGTGAAAGTGTAACGTGTCTTGTCAGGCGATATCAACTTGAGTCATGGCAACTCTTTTCTGATAGTGGCAACTTAGTGAAGTCATGAAAACACTCAACAATGAAAACGTCTTAAATTATTTCCAACACCTGAGAGTACTTCAACTATCTAGGTCAACATAAACATACCCCCCCACCCCCCCAAAAAAAAAAGGTTGAATCGACCTTACTTGACATACGAATACTAGGTAATCCCACGGAGACATGACACACTTCAACAGGTCGTCAGTTAGCACATGGCGTATCTTACCTGGCAATGTAAACATGACAACGTCCCTTCCCAGGTATCTCGAGGACATCCAGGACTCGGTTGTCGGTCTCGTAAGGCGGCATCATCACGCCAGGGATATTTCCATTCACCAGGTTTTTGTCTGTAGAGCCACAAACAGATCAGACAAGTGTCGATAAGGCATATAAAAGTTAGACAGTGACGGCCAAAGGTTAGAGGAGAAATTATATAGAAGTCAACCAAGGTCATATAGAGAACAGAAAAGCGGGTGTTTATAATGGTCTACGTATTAGATGTTACCAGTCAAAGTTAATGTCGCCGGAGATGTGAATGTCAACAAGGGTAAACTACTGTCGAGAGTTGGGAAAATCATGTCAACAATAGTGTGAATATTAGAAATAATCAACGAAGGTAAAAGGAGAAAGTGTCTCGATAGTGATACAAACTGAGACAAAGTTGTAAGTCAGGGGTAAGCGTCTGACTGTCACAGGAGTCATAGAAAAACGGTTCGTCACTCTACATCATAACCATCATTAAGAAGCACCAAATCAACTTTACTAGCTAGACCAAAAGCATCTCCTAGCATTGAAAAATATCATAGAGCAATACATTTCTCATAGCAATAATATTTTTTTTTTATTTCGTTCAGTATATAAATCTATTTACTCCTATTCGCATATTTTTTGAGGGGTCTTTAAAATCTAAAATATGCATCTACACTAGTTGAGCATGTAAAAAGAAAACACAAGCTACTTCAGTACACAAATTTACGATATTAATCAACACGTGCAAGACAACAGATCATGCCAGCTGCGAAAATAATAATAATAATAATAATAATAATAATAATAATAATAATAATAATAATAATAATAATAATAATAATAATAATAATAATAATAACAATAATAATAATAATAATAATAATAATAATAATAATAATAATAATAATAATAATAATGGCAGTAAAACTGATAATGATAGAAATTTTAATAATGGTAGTCATAACAATTTAACTACAGAAATAAAATAAAGTTATATTTTATTGTCAAAACTATTGTATTATATTATTATTACACAAAAAACAAAATCAAATAGAACAAATAATGAAAATAAACCACACACTTTCTGTAACAAATACAATTGAAAACAAAACAAAAATAAACTAAAACAAATCAGGGTTTTACATTAAGAACAAAAACATAAAAATAAACAGAAATATAAAATAACCTAAAAAAATAAATCTATGTTAAGGAAAACAAATAAATACAGGTAATATGGAAAAGGAAAACAAAAACACAGGCAAACAAAAAATTACAGAATATTCAAAGGACAGAAAACAAAATCGATGAATAAATTCACCATAAAATAAATCTTAAACAATCACACAAGAGACAAACTTAAGAAATCTAATAGAAAAAAAATTAATTAAGCAAAATAATCGAAACCATACGAATGGAAAGTAATGCATTTATCCACAATGATAAGAAATAAAACCTGAATAAATTACAAGCAATATCCTCATTATCTAACAGTATAGGCAACCTGATCCTAGAAATGGTACCCGGAAAGAAAAATTATATATTAGGAGTGTATTATTGTTTAGTAATTGTATACATGATATCAAAAATCACACTCCAATGAAAAATATGCCACATTTACTGATGCTGAGCGAATATTGACAAACTTAGTTCCTTTTGACTGACGCTTGGGACCCATTTTCTTACATCAGGTTAGATATACGTGTATAGAAAACGAAAAAACATTAAGGGGTAACTCAAGAGCTCAAGATAACCCATAGCCACCGTCGCAGCCTCGATGGTAGGTGAAAGTTATTCCGAGTCCTCATATACAAATATAATATACAATTGTCTTATATTAAGGGAAAATATATAGATACTACATACAAACACAAATAATACTTGAACGATTTCTTTAAACTTAGAAAAAATATAAAAAATATGTTGGCAAGCAGATTCTATAGTATTAACAAGACGTAAACAAACAGAGCACAAACAGAGGTAAACACTGGGAGGAGATGGGAGCCGAGGGTGTTGTAGTGTTTGGGCGAGTGAGTGGGTGTAGGGGAAGGCTTGGGTGTAAGGGAAGGCTTGGGTGTAAGGGAAGGTTTGGGTGTAGGGGAAGGCTTGGGTGTAAGGGAAGGTTGGGTGTAAGGGAAGGTTGGGTGTAAGGGAAGGTTGGGTGTAAGGGAGGACGGGAAAGGGCACAATGCCGATATGAGGAAAGTAATAGGAAATGACCGATGTATTGGGAGAAGATGGGGGGACTCAAGCAAATTGAAGGAGGTGGCGAGGAGGAAGGGAGTGCATGTTGGGGAGGAGAGGAAGAGACCATGTGTTGTGGAGTGGAGGAGGAGGGAATGTGGGGAGTAGTGGGTCCGTGCATTAAAGAGAGTGGGGAGGGAAGGGGAGGAGTGGGGATGGGAGGAGAGGATCCATGCATTGGAGACGGTATAGAGAGAAGAAAATCAATGCGCTGGGGAGGTTGATAAGGAGAGGACCCACGTGTTGGGGAGGAGGATGGGGGAGAGGACCCACGTGTTGGGGAGGAGGATGGGAAGATGACTCATGCAATAGGGAGGTGGATGAGGGAGAGGACCCATGCATTGGGGAGAAGGATAGGGAGGGGGGGGGGATCCATCGACTATACCGTCTTTGTCGTAACTCGTGGTGATGATGGTGGGTAGTGGATTGACGCTGGAGAACACGGGGTTGCTGATGCCCCCGCCAACTATCCCCGAGCCAACCATGCCGCCCAGGGAGGTGGTGAGGCCGGAGGAGAGGGGGTTTGTGCCGTGGAGAGAGAGTCCTCCTATGGTGCTGCTGGTGCCCATGAGAGGGGTGCCGCCGGTGAGGGAGTTGAGGGAGGTAAGACCGAGTGTCGGGTTTGTGGTGCCCAGCTGGGTAGAAAAGTTGAGACCCGTCGTGTCCATGTGAGAGAGACTCGGGTCCATCATCCCTAAGGGGTTGTTGCCCAGGGGGTTGACTATGGGGTTGGAGAGGTCCATGGCGGGCACGGTGGTGGTGATGGCCTGCCCCGCCAGAGACCCGCTATAGCCAGACCCCGTCATGATAAAGGAGGAAGGTGTCATGCCTGTCAGGTTCCCAGAGACCAGACCCAGTGAGGTCATGACGTCACTCGTCTTAAAGGTGGTGGCTCCGGTAGTGGTGGATGATAAGCCTGTGGCGGAGAGATGACAAGGACCGCAGCATCAGCCCTTCTGCAGGGGGAGCTCCTCCTCTTATTAAGCTGAACATCTGTGAATTTCTGCTAACAATATAACCATATTTGAGGGATGAGGGTATATATTCACTATTCGTTTGAAAAACTCTATTTATGTGTCTAGATCGTACCCATGCATATGAGGTCTGATCATGCACATAGCAATGCTAGACCACAACTGGGCATTTAGAATGGGTCATGCGAGACGTCTGGTTCAGACGGAAAGATCCCGCAGGTCTCAGACTGGTTACAAAAAAAAAAGAACATTGGCCGCTAAGAATCATATCATCTAGGAGGCCTATCATCTCAAGACTTCCACTGTATACGGGCACCACCACTAGCTCTCTTACTTATGTACAAATTGTTTTCAAAAGTAAGAAAAATAAATAAAGTCTTAGTTGTAAAAAGGAGAGATAGACTGACTACTGACTCAAAATATACAGACCGCAGCCTACAGGTAAAGACAACACACAACTTGTACACTAAAAATCGCTAAAGTCAAGCGTGATCTAAAGATGCCTCTGCGTTTCTTCCTCGCCATTAAGTCTCAAAAAGGACGAAAGTAGTGGCCTAAGTCACAAAAAGTGGCGGAGGGGACGAGACGACACACGTAGAAGCAGCCAGGGAGCGAGCAGGAGGCACAAGACGGCCCGCGCTACGACTACGCTGCGGGTTTGTAAATCAACAACTCCATAACAAATGTGCTCTACTGTTCACATTGTGCTATTTTGTACTTATATTTGACTTCGCTCAAAGACCACCGCTCTTTTTTTTTATTTTTTGGATAGATCGGACTGAGTTGTATAGTAGTAATAGTAGTAGTAGCAGTAGTAGTAGTAGTAGCAGTAGCAGTAGCTGTAGTGGGGTGGTTGGGAGAGGGGGGTGAGCATAGGATGATGGACATCTCGCTTACGGTGCTGTTGGCTTTACGAACCCAGCCTACTAAAACAGGGTGCTGGAGCGGGCCGCCCCTTGACCACGACTACTGAGGGTACCCCACAGGACAGAGGGGAGCCCTCGGGCACTCTGAGCTACCACCAGCAGCTAGAGTAGCAGCTCCAGTAGCAGCAAAGTCGCCACTTACTGTTCAGCCCTATGCGACCAAAGTGAGGCTTCGGCACTGTCAGAAAACTTTTGATTCGGGACATGGTGGTGGGGGCCGTGTCTCCGATGTGGTGAAGGCGGTGAGGAGCCGGCTGGTGAGGCAGAACCCGTGTCCGGGGGTTCTGCTGCCCCCTGGACGTCTGCTGGTGAACTTGGTGATCGTGGGGCATTGAGCGGCTTCCATGTTGCTGCTGTTGACCGTGATGGTGACTCGAGCTACCATGAGACCTGTGGCTGGCACCATGCTTCTGGCCAGAGCTATGGTGCTGCGTGTGGCCTGAACCATGATGGGATGATTCATGGTAGCCGTACCCACCACGATGATGTCCTGAGCTGTCATGGGAGCTGCTCATGAACGCCCTGTGAGCCAAGCCATCCACGAACTGCACGTGTTTCACATGATGGGGACCTGGAGACACGCGCTGGTCAAAGGTCATCTCCTGACAGGTCTCTGAGGTCAATATCAGCAGCTGGTTCGGCCCTGCTGCGACCTTTTACAGTAAACCCTCTCATAACACTACGTCCAACACCATCTCCAAAATGTTCCCAACCTTCATAAGTAACCTAAAAGAGGATACATAATAATTCTGAAAGTTCTCCATCTTTTTTTAACTATCAGTGATGAATCAGGAGATTCAAAAGGAACGAAATAGTCTCTTGAAGATAAAAAGAGAGAAAAAGATTTGTTTTCCATGCGGTAAACTAAAAAACAAAAACACAAGGACAACAGACGAGCACAGCCAGACTTACCTATCGTCGATCGAGATTTGTCGAGTTCAGCGAGGATCTTGTTATCCTGTTCTATTTTGGCCATAATCCTGTCGATCTCCGAAGAGGCATTTTCGACAGTGCCTGTCTGGGGGAGGGGAGAGGAGCCTAGGTAGCCCCCAGACCCCGAGGTGATGAAACTAGAGGATGTGGTATTGGTGTAGACGCCAGAGGATATAGAGTTGAGCGAGTTGAGACCTGAAGGAGCACATGCACGTCCACGCGAGACGCAACCCATGTTAGACAGTGTTGTAACGTCTCCAAACATATTATAGCAGTATATGTACATAGACCCATTCATCAATTATATACAATACTTATGTACAGTCTCCTCAAAATATCACTACTGTAGTTGAGGCTCACTCTCTCTTATGGTTTTATATCGCTCCATAAAAAGTGATTACAATTCTAGACAGTCTTTATAAAACATTAATAAGACCAGTAATGATTTAAAGACACTGAATATTTACAGTGTTGGTGGGATGCTAAATTAACTTTGTGGAAAAGAGAAAAATGTAATATTCAACATTTACCATTTAAGTGTAGGGTAAATCAATCCATTCAGAATAATACAAATAAATAAACTCCTTTTGATAAATAGAGGAGTTATGGTTTATATACATAGGGTCGAACATCCAAGTGTCTGGTGAGACATTAAGAATATATAACCATCTAGCTCCATCCGGTACACATGGAGGAGTTACTGTAGAGTCTAGTTACTGTAGCTACGTCTAGTAATTACAAATAACCTCATTTTACAGCACAAGGTTAATCAACTCCCTGAACTGCATGACACAATTCATTCTATAAACCTCATCAGAAACTCCTGCATATTAGAATTAATTGAATATAATTTCTCCTAGTACCTGGAAGTATTTTAATTTGTATGATCACTACGGCACGACGATGATCGGCTGCATTTTTATTTGTTTCCGCTAGGTGGATGACGACATAAACGAACGCTAGGCGGATGACGACATAAACGAACGCTAGGCGGATGACGACATAAACGAACGCTAAGCGGATGACGACATAAACGAACGCTAAGCGGATGACGACATAAACGAACGCAAAGCGGATGACGACATAAACGAACGCTAGGCGGATGACGACATAAACGAACACTAAGCGGATGACGACATAAACGAACGCTAGGCGGATGACGACATAAACGAAAGCTAAGCGGATGACGACATAAACTTCAGCTATTAATCTCACCCATTTTAAGAACATAAACACACGAATGAAGGAAACCGCCGTAGAAGTATTGACCCACACTCGACAGCCTGTTTACACCCAATCTTTTATCACTCATATAATCTGTCCAACCAATATAATGTGACACTTCCCAGCGAGTTACGAGTTAATGATGGTTAAATTAGATTAGGCTAAGTAAGATTATCTAGTCAGGTCGTTTCCAGGTCGTTTCGTCTCATTACGGAAATCAACACGTATACTACAGGTCGTCCAAATCAAGCTTAACGACACTTGATAATTTCCAAATTTTTCATATTCTTCTCCTTTGTTCTATTGTTTTCTGTCCTCTCTATGTCTCCTCTGCCTATTTTCTTCATCAACATCACTATGCTATTTTCCTATTTTCTTCTTTGCCGTAAACTATTCCAATTAGATTTTTTTTCTTCTCTGTGCGCGTCTCTGTTCCTACTTAATAGTTGTCTTTGAAACTCTGGAATAAGTTGACTAAACCCATGAGGACGATGACTAAAACCTTAAAGCCGATAATTAAACCCCGTGGACGATAAATAAACCCTTAAGGACGATAATTAAACCATTGAGGACTATGACTAAACTAAATCCCTTGAGAAAGTTAACTAAATTAAACCCGTAGAGGACGATGAGTAAACTAACACCCTGAGGACGATGACCAAATTAAACCCGTAGAGGACGATGACTAAATTAAACCCGTAGAGGACGATGACCAAATAAATCCCTTGAGGACGATGACTAAACTAACCCCTTGAGGACGATAATAATTAAACCCCTGAGGACAATAACTAACCCCTTGAGGACGATAATTAAACCCCTGAGGACAATAACTAAGGCCTTGAGGACGATAATTAAACCCCTGAGGACAATAACTAAGGCCTTGAGGACGATAATTAAACCCTTGAGTACAACGAATAAATCACTTCTTGAGTACTGTGCCATAACTCCTCGTACTCAAGGGGTTAAATAATCACGAGTGTAATCCTAATTATTTCACATAGTAATTATATCAACCTATCAGACTTATCATCACAAAACTCTATGGCTGTATTAGACTTTATGTATAGAGTATAACAGAATTAGTTATATCTATTACCACTAAGTATTATCACAACATTGGATACTTATAGGGTCATCATATATTACTTGATTAGGGATAATTATGAGTGATATATATATATATATATATCACTAAATATTACCATTAACTATAAGACTTTAAACGAGTATAATATAATATCACAGTTATATAGGTATTGTTACAACTAATACCACACAATATATAAAACAACAATATATATATATATAAATAATAAAATATAATAAATATTCAATAAATACTAATTAATTATCTAACTAACTACAACAGCTACTTAAAAAATAACCCATATATATATATTTGTTAACTATATTTCACTATATCACTATACCCAGACGAATTATATATACAACTACTTAAAAATATATAAACTTTTTTAGTTAATATTAAGGGGACCAGAATATGAGTCTACAGTAGTGAATCTAACATGAATTCCTGAGTCTACTTGTCATACCAGACCACAATGCTACTTGAAGTGGTTTGTATTGGTGCCTTTAACTGGTGCTGTGTTTGTCTACCATGCAGCATGCACGCCAATTGTGTTGTTGTCTTGTTCACAGTTTTATGTATACCTTTATTCGTGGTTCTGTTCACGGTTTTATTGTACAGTGCTTGAATCGTGGTACGGCTGACGAGTCTGTCTTGTAACTTAAAAATCGTGGTTCTATTCACGGTTTCTATGTGTTTTGCTTGTGGTTTTGTTTGCTGTTCTATGTATATACTTTAATCCTAGGTTCTATTCACGGTTTCTATGCACATTACTCATGCTTCTGATAACGGGTCTATAAACTTGACTCACGGTGATTGGGACACTTGAGCTTCCTTACTTCTCACGTATTGTAAATGGGTTCGGTTCTTAAGTATAACCGGGATTCTTGTGGTGTAAAGGAGTGGAATGGTTCTGGTGTATGATGGCTGTTTTTCCTACATGTTAAAACTGATTCTCTTCCTCCATCATAATACACAAATTACGTTTCATGTCATATGGGAACAAGTTTGTATTTTTTATTACTATTCTTTGGTGGAAATAAGTTCAAAAATAGAGAATTTCGTGTGTGTTTTTTTTTCAGATACCCTTTATCATCATAACATAACTAGATTACTTAAATGAATCTAGGATAAGGTTAAGTAAGGTTATGTTAGGTTAGGATAGATTAAGTTAGAGTGGTTAGGTCCATTTTGTATTATGAATGTCGAAATAATTATCCCTCTCCACTGACCATAGATGCATTATAAATTCTACATTGGATTAAGAATGAGATTAAACCAAGTATTGTCATTATCAGTTTGTTTGTTTTCCTGGGATCAAATTTGTTTTGGCATTCTGCACACCGTGAGAATAACCGTGAGATCAATGTTATCCCATGAGATTTGCTTAGCTTCAACATACCATGAGATTATTATTGGATCGAATAGCCCTATAATGAGTTAAATCCTGAATTAAATCTTCCCCCCTATTGTGATATTAATCTTGGCTCAGAACACCCCTCTTCTTTCATTTTCTTCCTCTCGTATTTCTTTCTTTCTTCCTATTTTCTCGGATGATTCGGGATTCGCATTTAACACATGACGTCTGGTCGATTTCCTTCATCTCACCTCAGAGGAAGGCATTCATTGTACGATCTTTTGAGAATCTTCCACCCTGAGCTCATTGTAATTCTTAGTAGTCAGGTGTCCTACATAACGAATTACTAACGCATGATATTAGGACGCTATAATCGACGGTTATAATCATAGACGTAATAAATCTATAGCCATGGAGATTAGAGACCTATAATAATGGAACGGTAGTGAAATATAATCACTGAAGATTAGAGATGAGACAACTATAATCACAGATACTGATTATAATCCCCGAGTCCAAATAACAATTGTTGAGTTGATTCGACAGTTGTAATCACGAATATCTGACAGACATAACCACAAAGTTTAAGACATTATTTAGACATTTATAATCATGTGAATTATAATGACAAGAGATTAGACAGCTATAACGTGAAGATTAGACCACAATAAACAGCTGAGATTAGCTATGACCACAGAGGCCAGGTAAGTATTTTCATCAGCTATAATCATAGAACTACGCTGCAAATTTTTGATCATCGTGAAATTTTTGCCTGCGTAGATTTTTACCTTACGATTTTTTTTTATAATTCGGGATTTTATTTTTTATATTTTACTGGAATATTTTTCACTCGAAGTTTTTAAATTTTCATGAAATTTTTGACGTTTGTAAATTTGTGAAAGGAGATGATAAAATAAATAAATAAAGCCCCAGTACAGATCCTCTCGCCATTATATTAATAAGGACACAGCAATGACGTGTTATCCTTTTAATCTGTTTTTCAAATTAAATCTTTTATTCTTGATAACAGCGGCGCTTTATATCTACCGGTATATATAGGTTTTTTTTTTGTGTATCAGTGTGGGAATTTATTAAAAAAAATAATAAAAACACGAGCGATTAGATCATGAACTACGGTATTGTTGAGTCTTGGATCGAAAATAAAATAAATAAAAAAAATAAAATCCGTGAAAAAAAAAAGATTTCGAGCCACCAACAGTTTTACGGGAATGTATAAAGGAAAAAAATCATTAAAAAAAATTATGCAACTATTTTCCTATTGTGCTGCAGAAAAAAAATAGTCTCAGCTTTTGATCTTCGTCACCAAAAGTGAAAAAAGTGGAAAAAAGTGAAGAAAAAAAATAATCGCCCAAATCACCTATTGCGATATAGCATTCTATCACCACGGGGCCGACAAGAGGAGGGAGTCATGCTCTTACTCTCAATTAACCTGCAGGTCTACTCTCCTCCCTCCCTCACTACCTGTACACCTGGTTCTAGTGAGCTCAAAGGGTCATGTGGTGTGAGAGTACAGTAGTCTTAAGGGGTGAGTTATGAGGGTCTTCTTTTAAGTGGGTTTTGGGGAATTGGTAGGGGGGGTCACAAGGGTATGGGAGTTATCTGTGTAAACATGCTCATAGATGATGACCAAATCCGTAACTGGGGAAACTGTGGAGAGAGAGAGAGAGAGAGAGAGAGAGAGAGAGAGAGAGAGAGAGAGAGAGAGAGAGAGAGAGAGAGAGAGAGAGAGAGAGAGAGAGTCTAAAAGGACATGACAGTTGCCTGCCTTGTCAAGACTGCCACACTTAGCAGTACAGTAGTCCTGGCAGGCAGTGAGCGTCACGCGCCCTCAAGCAACACCTCAGTTTCCTCTACATGGATTTGGTCACCATTCAGCTTCACACTATCTGAGTGGCTCCCTCATGCTTCATCTAGGTGTATGTGATGGTACCGAGTGTTGGTCTATCTGCCAAGCCTACAGCAGCTGAGCAATGTCCGACATAAACAAAAATGTCACAATATTCGGGCATTAAACAGTTCATTCCCCCAAAAAATATACATTTCCGTATCCTGTAGCAATAATGCTGAATTTTGTGAAATTAGGAACGACTAACTCTTGTGCGTCCTTCTTGAGGGGGAGAGGGATGAGCGAGAGGGCGACCAATGAGCGCGCTCCTCGCGCCAGCTCTGACCTGATTGGCCAGCGAGAGGTGACGTGGACATGGGGGGTTGGTGGGCCAAGAGAGAATCAGAGAGATCGACCAAGCCAATCACGTCAAGGCTGTGGGGCAGACTTAAGCCCATCCCGGAGTGTGGCACGGGCGTCGACCGGGCCGTGCTACCATTGGACAAAATTTGACTGGAATCTGTAAAGAATTGGTGATGTCAGCATGCATTCTCTGGCCCCTACTGGTGAAATCACGTGATGAAGAAGCACGTGCGGTGTTAGTACTTTGGGCTGTAGTGCACACCTGTGTAATTAACTTCATAAACAAAGCGTTAAAAATGTCAGTTACTTCCTGGTTATGTACTATTTCTTCTCACTTTATCACAGTCATCCCACTTAGCATTTCCTTTCTAATAAACAGGCAAAACAAATTTTTAAATATTGCATGAGCCTCAGACACAGGTGGGCACCACAACCCAAACATTAGCATAACCAGGTGAGTAAAGGTGCGCCAGTGTTAACAAGAAAGACAGCACCACTGTTACCAGACCCCACTAAGCATTCAGTACTTCAGTGCGTGTTTGTTCAAGCTATGTAGTACAGTGTTAACATGACAGTATTGATCACATGACAATATTTCACCAGTCCCGTGCACATTTCAAGAATTTCGACGGAAGACAAAATCAAGTGTCCAGGATCCGCCATATGGAATGAGTTATCAAACCCTGTACTTCTGTGTCTTGTTTTTGCCTTCCGACGATAAAGATGATGGTTGTTAAAGTCTGTCCCAGAGATTCCAAGATGTCCCAGAGGTGAGCAGAAGAGACAATATATAATGATAACAAGAAAGACAAGAGGCAAGAGGCATGGAGTTGGGTGGGGGAGAGAGAGAGGAGAGGGTGGCTTTGCCAGGTCCAGTACAAGCGACCCAGGGCTCCATCTCTAAAAGGCTCCTACGTTAAATTTCCTCCCCATCTGGAGATCTGAGAACATATCAAATGATCTACTTAGCAAACAACGCCTTAACGGCGTCAAATAGATACATTTTGTGACAAGATATGTTCTCTTATCTACCGATTATGGGGAGAATATTCCACGGGTGAGTCTTTGAGAGTGTGGACCCTGAAGCAGACAGGTTGGTGTTTGTTTACACACCACAATCATCATCCTCTTACGCTACCGCCAGTAATAATCATGTCTTAAGTGCACACCAAAGGCCTTTCCAGAACGTAAACGCCATGGCTGAGTAAGTCATCAGAAGACAGACAAATAAACAAGACGAAGCACATGTCTTGAAGGCTTGAAAAGGGACACTTGTAGTGATGGTAGTAAAAGGAGAATTTACTTTGTTGCTGCAGTGTATAGCGTAGGAGTGCTTGCTTGTACAAGGACATGTCTGCCAACTCGCCAGCGGGAGAATGGAAAGGAAGTAGACAATGACA